AATAACCCCAGCACTTTTGAGGCTTGACATGAAACAGAAATGCTCCACACTTCTTGAGTCAGCAGATTGAATCTTATAAGACCTCAGGCAGGGATTGCACAGGAGTAAATTCTTGCTCATTTAAGCTTCCATAATTTCATACAGGAATTTTTATTTGCATACATAATTTCTCTCATCCCCCAATACAGTATTTCAACCAAGGGTATCCTTGGATTTCTGTTTAGCACATGCTTATTATTTTCTTGATACTTTCCAATGATAAATAAATTTTGTGACTACAATTCAATGATAAGAAATATACCTCAGAAATTGTATTTGTGTAATCAAGGTTTAAAAGAGGGGAAAAATATAATTTTAGAATTTTCTCCCTGTTAAGAGCAGTTACAATCATTTCTGTTCCTAAATGCTTTACGAACAAGACTACAATATGTAGGATGATCTATTTAATAAATAAAATCTAAGATAATCTGTTTCTAAAAGGAGGAACTGAACTTTGTTTCTCAAACAATCTTTTAAATAAAGCTTTTCAAATTAGATTTCATTTATATTTTCTCAATTTCTCTAAGTAAATTCATTTACTACATTTTAAAAGGGATTCGTATTCAGTGTAGGCAACAGTTTTATAAAACACAATATTTTCTCCAACATCTCCATCTGCTGGCTTACAGAAAAAGTAGATTTTCATTTTCTGGTTTTTTAAATTTAATATTTTTATAATTTACTTTGTTTTATGGAATTAATAATTAACTATAAAATTGTTAAATTATTAACTAATCTAAAAGCTATTTGTCAAATTCATTTATCAAGATTCAGAAGATTTTGAAGAGTAAATCCAACATTTAATATCTTTAATCTCCCAAATCCTATGGGATCAAATACTCATGTTTATCACCATTACAGACAGTTTTTTTTTTTTACTTTTCCTAATTAGTATAGCACCAAAATTTACTAAAATTATTTAGAATTTAAAAATACGTAGTATTTTCCTAAAATCTGCTGTTGATTCTATTAGTTAACCATGTGGTATGTAGACAAACACTAGTATCAAATTTATTATTTTCTCAAAAATTCATATTTTTATTACTGTAATAAGTTACTTACATTTAAGAACTACTAGAATGCCTTTACACACACTAAAGTTCTTAAACCCTTCAGCTGCCAATACACACTAAAGATATTGAAACCTCTGAAGCATTATAAACTATTAGAACACAGGAAAAAGTTCAGAAAAACTGAGTTACCAAGGGAAAAACATTCATTTATTCTCGATAACTAGAATAAATGTTTATTGAGTGAATGAATAAATTCTTGAGGCCCATCAGTGGCTTTAGCTTCTGTTAGTCTCAAGTTTCTTTCTGATTATAGGCTTTGTATTTTCTCATAATGAAGGTTTTGAAAAACCCTCAGGGGGTTAAAAAAATTGTATTGTATGTAGTCAAGATGAAAGGGAAAGAGAAAAGGAAAGAAGGAGGAAGGAGAAAGAAAGAAAGAAAAGGAAATCAGTCTTTATTTCCTCAGGTGTCCACAGAATGAAGTAAGACTGAACAGGTACATTCCGATCTCACTATTGACTAAAAAAGGATATACAGGAGACCAGTGGAATGCACTTAGTCATTTTACCCAGTTCAGAACAGAATGATTTCAATTCATTTGCATATGCTTAACCCACCCATTCAAAAGATCTTCTTGGATGTTTAACTTAATGTCAAAGTCAAAAATTCCAAAGAAAGTTCCTTCATCCCAGTAATGAAATTAAATCAGTGAACAAATAATCTTATTTCTGTTAAAATTCTATCACGAAAGTATAAAATCCCACTTTCTTAATATATAAATCTAACCCAGTGGGATTTTTATGGCTTAACTAAAATGAAGAACAATCTCCCCAATTATAAGCATTGAATGACAATACCCATTATTTAACAATGGAATTACAGCACAATTTCTTAGGTTTTTTGGTGGAAATGAGGAAAAGATGCTTTGGTCTTAACTCTCAAAGTACCTGATACTGTAAATTCCACTTTATATAAGAAAAATTATGGGTTCCCCAACTTTAAAAAGGCAAGAAAACAAAAGAAAGGCATTGGAGAAAAAGCTTGAGGAGGAATTAAGTACTCAAGACTCATGTTGGTAAATTTGACTTTGGAGATCCCTTGACTAATGACTTTGTGCTTATACTTTACATAATCATCTCTCCCTCACTTTCACTCTCTGAGAATAGAGAAACTAATATTTTCTATTGTCCTTAGCACCAAAAAAGGAGGAAAAAAACATCCCATTCCATAGATTTTGAAATTCTTAAATGAATAAAGAAACTGAGTCACATATGTGAAGTGGTTAACTCAACAAGTCAATGTCAACTCCAGAAAATTCTGTCCCATGGGGCTCTTTTCTGTAATAGTGCTCTGCTAGTTCTCTGTAGCAATCTGTAAAATTACTTATAACATGGGAAGTGTAAGTGCTGAGATTCTGAATTTTCATGTTCTTTAAATACATTCAGTTCCTCCAAATAATTTCAGCGTTCTAGGATAATAATCCATGAAGGGTTAAGTTTAGGATCTGAAGATATGTACTTTTTTAAAAATTTCAGTTTCACTTTCTGAGAAAAACAGAAAGTCTGGGCAAAATGAAGATTTGATCATTTATTACATGAATATGTTCATTCTGTGAAAAATCATGGAGTTGTATGCGTGTAACATTTGTACATATTCTTTCCATATATTTTATTTCAGTAAGACCTGTAAAAGTTAAACATGTTTGCAAACATATATGAATATACATTCATACACACACACACACACACACACACACACACACACTAAGGTCAAGGAACTAAACCTATCATAAGGTAAACCATAATGTTTTCTCTTTACAAAGTCCCAACAGTAATTCAACATGGGTTGGAATCAAAGAATATTCATTTTGTTTAATGGACATATCTATTATTTTCTCAGAATGCTCTCTTCACTATTTTCTCCAATGAATGAACTTCTCAGTTGCTGACTATTTTCAAAATTTATAAGTGTCCACACTAAAATCCACTTCCTCCCAATAACGGTAGTCTTCCCTTAGGATTCTTTACTTTTCAAAGTATTGTCACACTAGTATACAATTACACAGTTGCATATTGAACTTATAATTTAGGAAAAATGGAAACTTCATGATACCAAACCAATAGTCTAGTTCTGGCAGGTAAATAGGTCAAGCAAGAAAGCCTTTAAAATTTAAAGCAGGGATTGTGTGTGTGTGTGTGTGTGTGTGTGTGTGTGTGTGTGTGTGTGTGTGTG